TTAGATGGATATTGAAGAGATAATTTCAAAATGTAAAGGTCCTGGGGAAAAATATAAGGTTTTGTGAATAGGATGCTGAGGTTCATGTCTGTAATTCCAGCTTCTTGAAGGTGAGGATAGGAGGAGAGTGATCCAAGACCAGCTCAAGCAAAAACTTAGTATGATTCTATCTCAAAGGACAAACCAGGTGTGCTGGTATACTCCAGTACCAGCATCTATGCAAGAGACATAGATCAAAGGATCAAGTTCCAAAATCAGCCCCAGGCAAAATGTTGGAAACTCTATCTAAAAACTATTAAAGCAAAAAGGTTAGGGGACATGGCTCAAGTAGTAAAATACTTTTCTAGCACATGTGAGGCCCTAAATTCACACATAGCACCACCAATAAATATATAAATAATGAGGCTTTGCTTCATACTCAAAGTTTGAAAATACATGCTAATGGAGGCACTAGTGCCTGACAACTATAATCCTAGCTACTCAGGAGACTGAGATTGGGAGGATTGCAGTTTCATCCCAGATGAGATAAAAGAAGTTCACAGATTCCTTCTAAACCCAAAGCTGGGAACAATGTCAAGCACCTCTCAGCAATGTGGGAGGCTACAAAGACTGGCTAAGATTGAGCTCTGGCTCTGTGGCAGATGGCTGCCTAGTAAGTGCAAGGTCTGAATTAAAACACTCCTCTCACTACCAAGAAAAAAAATTCACAACTACTACTACTTTATAAAAGCCTTATAGAAGTAAGTTGATTTACCTCTGATATTAACATTTTTCTCTGGTAACTAGTTTAAAAGTAAGCAGATCAAAGCTAAGCTGCCTAAATACCTTCTTAATTCTTTGGGGGATAGAAAGTTACCAGGATAGTACACAAAATGAGTCATATTTTATACTATTGTGTTTCAAAAAGGGCAAAAGTAACATTAATATAATGGGAGTTAAGCACACATTCAAGAAGCTAAAGCTTGCAGAGCAACTGAATGAAGGACAGTATGTAACAATGAAAACAGACACTAACACATCAGAAAATATTATTTGGAAAGCATAGCAAGGCAGAACTAGAGATAAACAAGTTAAGAAAGCAAACAGGAAGAGAAAGACTGAGCATAAAGCCATAGCATTAGAGAAGGTACAAATAATAATAAAATGATTTTGCAGTTTTGTCAATAGGTTTCAAAACAGAAATGGTGAATTACTAAAATATACTTGAAATAATATTTCTCTAACAAAAAAATGCTTTTTCTGGTGGAACTGAAGTTTGAACTTCAGGACTTTAGTTTGCTGTGCAAGGCACTCTACTATCTGAACACACTCCAGCCCTTTATATTTTTGTTATTTCTCAAATAGAGTCTTCTATTTTGGATCTACATCAGCCTCAAACAATGATCTTCTTACCTATTTTTCCTCACATAGTTTGGACAGCATTTATAGTCCATCACTACCAGTTTACTGATTAAGATGGATGTCTCTATTTTGGCAGGACAAAAGTGTCTTTAAAACTGGAAATTCCATTGCAGGGACCCCCAAAATGTAATGCTTGAAAGACAAGGAAAATATAGCCAATTACTTTTTCTAACAAACTTTCAGTACCAATATAAATGAACTAAATTACATGGGCTTTGCATGATATGATATTCAAGAAACAGATTCCCAGAGGAAAAGTGGCATATAAGCAGATGCACAAAGAACTGTAATTCAGAGTGACGTGAAACTTTTAACAAATTTGTAATTCTACCAGAAAGCTTAACTTGCTTCTTTAGGAAAATGAAGTCATCTGTTCCTAATCTCTAATTATATAATCAATCACCTTAATAAAATCATTCATATGAGAAACAGTATAAGTAGATTTTTGGTTTGTTACATTCATTAGAGAAAGCATAAGTGTTTTGATGAATTCTTAGAAATGTATAGCAGGCCTATAGTGTGCTAAGACTCCAATAGATTTTATATCTCTTAAGGTGTTGAATTCTTTTCAAACAGAAAAGAGAGTAACACCTAATACATAAAAATTTAAAAAATAGACAAGAGTCACACTATTTCTTCAGAAGGAATAGTTTTGATTGAGTTTTGGTATCCAGAAAGAAGCCAGATATAATGACTTAAGTTCTTACTTTTTCATCTCTTTCTATCCACCTATTCTTTGATGTACTTGATGAAAGGAGAACTTCTGCTAAAATAATCTCAACAGCTCACTTCCGGGTTACAAGACTAGTCTTGCACCGCAGTCTAGGGTATATTGTACAACTGTGTGCAGAGCAAAGTTACAGTTATCAATTGCAACCATCTAGGCTGAGGCATTTCTAACAGATAAAATTTAACCAACATAACCACATATGGTAGTTTGGGGAAGTCATTCATGCAGAAGTTTGCAAAGACTAATATTTATACCAGCTTCAGTGTTTCTAGTTTATTTGCTTTTTTGTGCCAGTTTGGGAACTTGAACTATGGGTCTAGGTGCTGCTGATCCTGAACTTTTCTGTTTAAGGCCAATGCTCTACCATTTGAGCCAGAGTTCCACTTTCAGCTTGGTTCTAACCATGATCCTTAGATCTCAGCCTCCTGAGTCACTAGGATTACAGGCATGTGCCACTAGCACCAGGATTACAATTCTTTCATTAAAAGAAAGAGAGAATTTCAAAGGGAACCATAAAGGAATTGACATCATTAAATTTAAGGAAGACTTTCTGCTTTGACTGTCATTACATCTAGAAATACAACATTGTATAGGGATTACAAAAAAAAAAGAACTTCCTGAAGAATTGGCTAAGAAAATGTGTAATTTCTCTAAAGTTTCTATACTTACTAAAAACATGGCAGTCCTAACATAAAAGTTTCATTTAAATGGTTCTCTTAAGTGAAATACAGTCTCCTCACTTCCATCCAGGGTGGCTAACTTAGTAAGTTACTCCTGTTTCTAGCTCTCCTTAGCAACTTCACTGTTTTATTTTGATCACAAAGCATTTTATTTTGGTATCATAATTTGTTCTTCTTTATAAACAAATGCTAAATGAGTACTTGAAAGGATGCTGCATGTTCTGTTCTTTGAGAGATGTAATTTGCTTAATGACATGACTTTGGGTCTTTATCTCATGTGGAGATTTTCACTTCATAGGCATTTGCTTGCAATCTAAAATGAAATTTGGTCTCAAATTTGGTCTCAGGTAAATATAAATCCAACTTTGAGTGGGCCTATGACCTCAACCTAAAACTATCAAATAGTAATAATGGCTTACCTATATTCCCTGAAATGACAGGCTGCAGAGATAGGGCCTCAGCACACATTTCTCTAGTTTTCTCCATTTTTCCCTACATGCCCACATCAACTCCAGATCCTTTCAAACAATCATTCTGTACTACTAAGTTACTGTACTACTGAGCTCCAATCAGCAAATCCTTTGCCTTCTTCCAACTCAGAAATGTAGTTTCCTATCTTCTGCATGCTAAAGGCACTCTCCACTTAACCTAACTTTTAGTGTTCACAAGGGGAAATTTGTTAAGGGGACCTCTTCTTTCTAACAGCACAATTAGATTACCATCTCGGCCCCGAAGTGCTACCTCTACCAGTTAGGACAAATATCAACCTTGATTTTTAATCTTGTCTGAAAACTTGGGCAGCCAGTGTTTGTTTTCTTTTGCACAATGACACCCCAAGGTCTTCCACAAGAAGACTTAGGATACTTCTTACCAAACTGACCAGCCTTCCCTGCCCTGCCGTGAGTTAATTCTACACATCCCTTACCTACTCACACTGGATATGCCATTGTCCTGTCTCCTGCAGGTGCTGGCCTCAAAACGCACACCATGGGCTGGGAGCACGCGGGTGGGTCACGCCGGTAACCCTAGCTACGCAGGAGGCTGAAAACTGAGGACCATGGTTCGAGGTCAGCCAGGGCAAGAAAGGGTCCGCGGGAGTCTTATTTCCAATTAACCCCTGGAAATGGCGCTGTGGTGGTGAAGCTCTGATCAAGATTAATAATTGATCATAGTCGTAACGCCGAGTTCAAATCCCAAGACCAGCACACGTATACACACAGAACACACGCTTCTCTGACACGGCCTCCCCTAGTAACCGCCCCCACTCAGTCCCTAACACACTTCCCCGAAGCTCCAGCCAGCGAGGGGTGAGGGCGGCCGGGGATGCTCCGCGCCCCGGGCTGTCACCGCGGAGGGGCGTGCGCGCATGCGCAGCCGCAGGTCCCCAGCCCCGCGCTGCGGGTCGCGGGCCCGGGCTGGTCCCCCGCCGCCCGAGGTCGGTCGGGCCGGCCGGGACGGGGTGGCAAGTGGCCGGCCCGAGCTCGGGAGGCCCAGGGTGGCTTGGCGGGGACTGACGGACACACTCACAATTTCAGCATCCACTCGCCCTCCATCACCAGCGTCCAGTTGGAGGCGGTCATGGGCTGGACCCGGCTCTGCTCCGCCGGCAACGCGGCCTGCTCCTGGCCCTGGGTCGCCGCCGAAAGCCAGACAGCCAGGATCGCCATCGCCGCCAGGCCGCGGCGCCCGCCCGCCATGTTGGGTGCGGAACGGGCGGGAGGGTCCCCTCAGATGGGGAGGGGAAGGGGAAAAAGAGCGGCGTGGGGCTTCCCTCGCCGGCCCGAGCCACTGGGCTGCTGAAGACCGTGGTGAGAGGACGCGAGCTGCCCCGCCTCCCGCAGGCCGCGCTGACAGCCTCCGCCGACCACGCGGGCCACCGGCACCGCCTCTTATGCGCTTACACTCGCCGAGGCCACGCCCCTTCCCCCTCAGGCTCCGCCTCTTCTGTGCCTGGTCGCCGAGGCCACGCCCCGTCCCCCCGCCGGCACCGCCTCTTAAGCGCTAGTTCTCACCCAGGCCACGCCCCCAACCATCCCCCCCCTACCCCCACCCTCCCCACCCCCGCTGGCACTGCCTCTTAAGCGCCAGTGCTCGCCCAGGCCACGCCTCTAACCTCCCCCCCCTCCCTTACGCAATGAGGCCTGGGGCGTCGGTTGCCACGGCAACGGCCGCCCTTTCTCCTTGACGGCAGCGTTGAAAATAAACTGATGATCCACTGTGGAAGTTTAGAGCCCAGCCTTCTCTCCCTGTCCTCCACCTCCCCGGGAAAGGGAGGATTGGGCGTCTGGCAGTTTCTCCCACAAGAGTTCATCTTCGCCTTCCACGGTTGCAGGGAGCGATGGACGGTATGGAGTGAACTTAGGGTTGGTTGGATGTAAAGCCGAGGGAGAAAGGTGATCTTCTTGCTCCGAGGGGCAGTTAGTGCTCTCTGGCTGCGTACCTCTGACTGCTGCTGCTGCTGCTGCTGCTGCTCCGGAAACTAGACTGTGCACTAGACTGTGCACTTCCTGCTGCCATTGCTTCTGCAACTAGAGTTTTTGCAAAACCACGTTTAATGGTGGAGTAACTTTCAAAACCTAAGTATCACCAGGTTAAAAGCAATGAGTCCACTAACAAGCATATCGTTCGTTGCAGTAAAATGCACGTACGTTTCTCTCCTACAGTTTCTTTAGGTCTGAAAGGAAAACAGCTTTCACTAATTTCCTCATTGCTTTTCAGATACACCCTGGATGAATCTGTACCTTGGGTGCCAGGCACCGTGAGTATGTTTAAAGTGCATTATAGTTAGATAGTCATGTGCGTTATAAACATTTACCAGGGGTGCAAAGCAAAAATCTCAGTGGTTGGATACTACATCTAGAAAAAGTTGTTTCTGTCCTGGACTTCCAATATATCTTGCTCTGCACTCTTGAGTACTTCAGGTCACAGACCATCCATCTCCAATAGGGGCAATAGGAAAAAAATAATTTTGTACATAGAGATCTGGTGTGGATTAGATGTTAATTAGCCTTAGATAAAACCTATGTGGGTCCAGTCAGCTCGTATCAAAACACTTGAGTTTACAAATTATTATCGATTCGGCACATGTCTGAAAGTAATATTACTAAAACTCTTTGTCTTGATGTGTACCTCAATGCTGCAAAGTCAGTAGAGAAACATCTTATTGTGCTTATTTTTTAAAGAAATAGATAGGAAATCTATCATTCTTTCCAGTGTATTTTTTAACTAGGATATGTGATTTTTTTAAGAAGTTAAGCAGTGCACTTAATTATTACAGTTAATTTTCTTGAGCTCAATCAAGATGTCCTAATGTTCTAAAATTTTTATTGGTTAAAGATAGCAAAATATTTGTGATGAGGTAATGTGATGCTTAAAATTTGCTTTAAACTATCCCAGAAATAAAATGTGAGGAGTAGCAGATACATGAAATAAGAGTGATACCCAGATAGTCAGTATTGAAGGTAGATTCATTTTGCTCTGTTATCAATGTTTTTGGGCTGAGGGATGTTTACAAATGAGACATGATAAAACATCAGGATCACAAAAGAAATTTGTGACAGCACTTTATATCGCTAACATAAATTTTATGTTCAAGGACTGCTTTTCTTGTCCTTCAGATGGAGGAGAACAGGAAAGGCTGGTAAGGAATAACACAGTACAAATATAAGGGAGGGCTTTGCCATGATGAGGCGAGATCAGTTGCTATAAACCAAGATGGCATCTCAGCCCACATACTCCCTACCCAATGTGATTTCAGGAACGAAAACTACTGTACATCCTGATTCAGCTTAAATATAGGTGATTGTAGAAACTGCTCCAAATGGATAGTTATAGGCATAATGACCACTATGGCTCAGAAAACATTATTATTTAGAAATAACAATACTCTATAATGCTTCCAAGGCTCCCTGTTTTCCCTAAGGTTATCTGGGTACGCCAGTGGCTCAAGCCTGTAATCCTAGCTACTCAGGAGGCTGAGATATGAGGATCAAAGCCAGCCTGGGCAGGAACGTCCATAAGACTATTATCTTCAGTTAGCCACCAAAAAAAAAAAAGGAAGGTGCTGTGGCTCAAAGTGATAGAGTGCTAAAAGTTCAGGGACAGCACCCAGTCCCTAATAAGTTCATGCTCCACAACCTGCCCCCTAAAGCAAAATGAAACAAAACAAAACAAAAAGCACTTAACAGCATAGTCAATATCATTTACAGTCTAGCTTTAGTTTTGCTCACCATATATTTCACCCTTTCCAGAAGGCCTTGTGCCCTAGAAACACAAAGCTATTTCTCCCTCCCCTAAGAACTTAGAATACATTTATGCCTCCTTGCCTCTTCATTTGGCTTCATTCTCTTCCTCACCAGTTGTTTAGTGAATTGTGATTGAGCTACTTTCTAGTAGTTCACCTTGTACTCTCAGTAGCCCACACAAAAGAGACTCTGTCTCATCTCAACTCCAGTAGTTCTTCTGTATAACAAAACCACAGCACGCTCATGTTTAACAGGATTTCACTCAGTTGTCACTCTCTCTCCTCACTTCTCCAATTCCTACTTGGAACCTTCAGGGTTAAAGACTTTGTGTTTCCTGCCTAGATTATTTACCCCATTACAGTACTTGAGGTAGGCACTTTCTTTAATGGTCCCTAATATCTCAACTTCTGATATTCAGGCCCTGGTAGGATTCTCTCCTCTGGAATGTAGTTGAGCCCAAAGACTCATTTCCAACCAATGGAATACATAAAGGTGATGGCCTAATCTTTCCATAACAAGATTCCATAACCTAGGATTTCCACCATGCTGGAATTCTTGCTTGCTCATTTTGAGACAATATGGAGAACTCTAAGCAACAAGGAAGAGCGAGCGACCTTGAGCCAACATCTCCTGAAGAACAGAGGCCTTCATCTACCAGCCTGCCAAGAACTAAATCTCAGAAACAACCATTTGAGTAACCTAATAGCACTGCTCAGATCCTGAGTCCAATGAGTCACCTGGAGCCATGAGCTACAGCTTAGCTGGGGCCTTTACCCACAGAGACTATGACAAATCAGTGGTATTGTTTTAAGCCACCAAGATATGGAGTCATTTGTTAAACACATCACTTGTGTATTCAAAGTATAGTTTTATGGTTTTAAGAAAATTGCTACCCGCTACTGGGACAGAAGAGTTTTGGTCTCCAGTATACTTTGCAATGCTGAGACTGTGGGGAAGGTATGGTTACACAAGACACAGGAATCTCCGCAGGAAAAGGAATTATGTTAGACTTTGAAGATGTGACATCATAGCAAGAGACAGGGAAAGAATGTGAGGGATGCATATCCATTATCCATATCTGACTCCCTCTCTCCCTCTACCTCTCTCTCCCTCTATCTCCTAGCCCACTAAGCAATAGACTTCTTTCAAGTGAGGCACACCTGTATGACTAGTGTTGGACTACAAGCAGAGGGAGGTGTATGTATTACTTCCAGACTGAAGCACTTAATCACTAGTGCCAAAATGTTAACATTGCTCCCTTCTGCTGTGAAAATTTTAGGCAAAAGTTCCTGATCTGAGACTTTATCAAACTAGAGAAACCTGGAATTGCTCCAGCTGCCTTATGAAGAATAGGTGCCCTAGATGGCGCCCCAGATTCTCATCAGCAGTAAATAAAAGCACTTGGGCAGAGGATATAAATTGTTATTATGAAAGTCTAAGCAAATTAGCTATTGCTGCCTAACCAACCACCCCACAATTTAACTCTTGTGGTTCTGGGATTGGTGGGCTAAGCTAAGCTTTTACTTAAAAAACAAAAATGTGGTCTTTTGTAAAGTGGTTGATGCTTAGAGGCTGGGCAAGAGTTGGTTGGTTTGTAAACCACATCTAGCATGATTACTGTTAGCCAGAGCAGCTGGGGACTGATTAGATATTTATTTCATTCTTTGGTCTTTTCATGTGGCCAGCATGCCAATATCAGAACTGTCTGAGTTACTTTCTCTACCACAAGAGTTCCTATTGGCCTGAGTAGAAGATGCACTACAGTTTTAAGATTATTCTTGAAAGTCTTAATTCAGAAGTGTGAGAATGTCACATGGACCACATTCTAATTTCCAAACTAAACACTAAACACTACACTACACTAATGAGGAGAGGTAGTAAACTTTATTCTTCAACAAAAAGTAGGAAAATAGGTACAGGCTCACAATTGTAACTGTAGCTATACTCAAGGCTCAGATGGACAGGATCATGGTTCAGTTTGGCCAGGAAAAAGTTTCTAAGACACCCTCTTTTTTGGGGGGAGGGGGGTCCAGTCGTGGGGCCTGAACTCTGGGCCTGGGCACTGCCCCTCAGCTCTTCAACTCAAGGCTAGCACTCTCCAACTTCAGCCACAGCACCACTTCTGGCTTTCTTTTCTTTTTGCTTATGTGGTGCTGAGGAATCAAACCCAGGGCCTCATTCATGCAAGGCAAGCGTTCTACTACTGAGCCACTTTCCCAGCCCCTAAGACACCCTCTTGACCAATAAAACGCTGAGCATGGTGGTGTGAGCATGTAATTTGAACTATGTAGAATGCATAAACAAGAGTATTGGGGCCCAGGTGACCCTGTGCATAAAGGTGAAATACTGAAAACTAATGAAAACTAAAAGGGCTGGGAATATGGCTTAAATGATAAAGCAGTTTAGAAATATGAGGTCCTGGGTTCAAACCCCAATACCACACAAAAGGCAGAAAAATATATCTTAGTCTATCAAAAAATGATGGCCCATTGCAACAATGATTTCCACAAGACAGTATATTGGAAATGAACTTTACAACTTTGGGTGGGAAGAGTGGGGAAGGAGTGAAGGAGGTGGACGATAGAAGGGATAATGGTACAACCACAAGGGAAGGGGTAATAATGCTTGACGAGAAATGTACTCATTGCCTTACTCATGTACAGCATCTTTACAATAAAATAAAATTAAAAAAAAACAAAAAGACAAATGAAAATATAGGATTGTCACTGATTCATAATCTAGCTGATTTTAACTCAGCCACTATCTTCCTTTGATGACATACTCATCATTAGTATTTGAGGGATTAGTAAGATAATATTTCTTCAGAGCAAGATGGGAATTCTCTCTGTCGCTTTACCTATTGTGTGTAGACCTTGTGAGTTTGTTCTTTGGGAAAAAGACTGTGGAGAGAATGATTTTCAAGCCATTGGACAGCCAAATGGTTTAACCTCATGGTATTTACACACTCAGAGGATTTCACAGAACTTCTGTTAAACTTGTTAAAAATGATTCAAAGACCATGGTAAACTGTGTGTTTGTGGCTCACACCTGTAATCTTAGCTACTCAGGAGGCTCAGATCTAACCTTTGTGGTTCAAAGCCAGACTAGCATGGAAAGTCCATGAGACTCTTATCTCCAATTAATGAGCAGAAAACTGCAAGTGACATTGTGGCTCAAAATGGTAGAGAAAATGCTCAGGGACAGTTCCAGGCCCCAAAGTCAAGCCCTACAACCAACAATGACAGCAACAACAAAATTACATGGTAAGATTTATATAAATCAACATATTAGCAAAATTACTACCTTGTTTTAAATTCAGAATGCTTTTTATTCTTAAACAATGGTTATAAGAAAACAATTTTTAAAAGAGATAAAACTTGATAGTCTAATGGTGGAAACTTATACATAGATTACTATCAAGAAATAAGATTGTATTCAAATTACCTAAGCCAGTATAATGACAGGGTACAGAAACAATGTTTATCCTGTTGGGAATGGTGAAACATTTATGGAA